CGATAATGCAACTGCAAACACAGAAAAATAGCTTCGCTCACGTGAATGTTAATGTAATAAACAGAATGAAAAGGAACACGTATTATTACATATTACAATTATACAATCTTGAGAAAATGCTAACTGGGGCAAAGGATATGAACCCTACGAGGAGTGGACAAGCCTTGTCAACCTTGTGGCCAAAAAACTGCGTAACCGACATCTTGGGCTAAAAGTACACCTTCGGCTGCAGACGCCACGACAGCTGCGCACCACACAACCAACTGCAGAAACCAACCCGGACCACAATGCGAAGGCTTGTGAGAGACCAAATGAAACGTCGGCACTGGATCAATCACCCGATGGACCAACTTATTCGATTGCGAGTGCATAAATAAACTGTTTTTATGCATTTTGCAATTTTTAGCATGCAAAAATTATTACTGGCAAATACGGTATCGATTATCAATGTTTCGATCTATCTCTGATAGATCCTGTATAGGACTAGATCATAAGATCGTTCAGTGGCTATAATATCTGAAATCTGGTTGCAGATTTTTGACGATGCTTCCATCATTTGGAACCCATCATAATACCCTACTATTCTAATAAACTATTTTCATATTTTTAAACTCGCATCCTCTTAGTATTTAATGCTACATGACTCTATAGGTTCAAGATATTAGACAAAAATCTAGTCGACTGCCAGCAGAAATAGTCATTACGCACTATTCCTTGGAATTACATTCAATAATGCAAGTGCGCCAGAAATTTTTTATGCCATAATATTGTCCGCAATATCTAAAATATTCATAAAAAACAGAACTAATGTCAATGTATTGTAACGTAAAATATCAAATACAATAGTCACAAAAATTATTTTACATTATTAGTCACATACGTAATAATGGGGACCATAATATTACCAAAAGCTGGGTTAACCATAGGTCAGAATAATAAATATTCATTGTTCAGTTCGCATCGTTGAATTTCGTTCTTAATATAAGAAAAAGCATCTGAACCGTATCGCAATAAATTACGCATAGTCCAATGAAGAATTTGCACTTTAAATTTCCAAGTCATAAATGAAATTAATTTAAATATTTATAGTCAACTGTAGTACGACATTTTATTACTGCATCGTATATTATTGACATACTCGTACTATATGGCATAATGGAGCAAGTTCACGCAGCATTATTGTACGACCGCTTACTACACGGCGCTCTTTCCAGTTATCGTACTACAAATGCACATTGTAAAATATTTCACAGTACTACAAGCATAAAATCATACCGTCAAACGTTATACGGTAAACTGTACATGTGTTACGCACGCAATGATGCCGCAATAGATACTTCGTAGTTGTACGCTCATCTGCAGCTATGCTGTAATACAGAAAAGGAAAAAAAGAAAATTTTTTCACCGCTAGAATGTTGGTCTTTCTTCATTACTTCGCTTCATGATTGGACCATTTTGGCGCCGCCCTTTTCATGAAATTAATGATGTCGAGCTGATCTTGGTTTCAATGCCATCAGCCAGAAGTGCCCTGGTTTTTTAAAGGCAGAGACGACAGTCATGTGCCTAGCGCAGCACGTCGTCTCTAATCGCCTTATTCTCTTTCACAGAGTGGCATTCATTTATCAACCTCGGGAAGGGGGTGATGCAGACAGGAGCTTGAACTCGGGACTTACGGATTCGACACTCCACCGACTGAGCAACCAAAATCGATAAATTAATGCTTCAAGAGAATTAGTGAATAACATAAAGACACTGCCCTCGAGCGCAACAGAACCCTTTACCTCCGGAGTCCGAAGCAAACCCCTTTGACACTGTGCCGACATACCACCAGTTTTATAAAAAATGTTATAATGCTTAAATAAAGCAGTTAAACTGAAACTGATGTTTTAACATTCAGGCTGATGTAACATAAACAATCACATATGGTAATATTCAATGCCAATTGTAGCTCTCTCGTGCAGAAATACGCACCTTCACGAAATCGCTCGACTCCACCTCGCTGGGTGGTGATTTTTCTTTTTCAGTCAGCACCGAGTCCACTTTGCTTTTGATTTCGCCTAGGACCTCAGATCCAAACTCCCTGATACTCTCAGCCGTTTCCTAAAACGACCAAACTGAGTTAAGTCAGAGAAAACGGCAGTCGTATGAAATAGCCAATATAACATAAAGCATAGCGCGGCTTATGTAATAAATTGCGAGAACTGGTGTGGAAAAATACCTACTTAATTTAGTACTTCGAAGCACAGTAGCAAAAACTTTAACAAGGCAAAATAATTAATTAATAAAATTCCCCATTTACTATAACAAAAGTTTCTAACTGTGTCTATTGAGTAATCATGAAATGCTTTATTGCCAAAGCCCTTGTAAATGAATGCAGAGGCCAAGCTGCAGCTCAGTGACATCAACATGAAAAATCACGGGGGAGGAGTATATCTAAGGTAACGCTATGACTGGTTGGCAAAATCTTTGAAAGTCCGGATTAGCTGCTGGAATACGATGCGACATTTTCTTCTGAGCATTTACTAAAAGAAATTCTGTGCACTCAAGCATTGCATATGCACACCATCTAAGACACACAGCATTTGTATCTGTATAGTATATGTGCTATATGTAATACACAATATATTATTACGCACATAAATATTACTCTACAAGAAGTGTCCAACCACAGAACAAAGATATATCAGATATAATGACACCATAATACAGAAGACAATGGATAGGATGACATCGTCATTATGTTATACAATAAAATATTTACCCAGAAACACTGGTCTTGGTAAAATTGGCGCATCATAGGCAACAAACAAAACTTTTTTAAACAATCACCTATACCAGCAAAGTATCTTAAGCTCTTCCTCAGTTTGATAGCTAATTTGTTAATAAATACGTGCTATTTGAAGTGGGTACGTTTCTCATTAAAAACTAATCTTCGTTCACCCTGCAGCCTTGCATTAACAACACAGACATTCAAAACCTAAAAAAGCGACAACTCGGCATCAAAACGGAGCCCGCGATGCAGAAAACAGGAGGGCAACTAAATCAGACCTGACCAATTCGCTGGTGGTTCGAGGTCGTTGAGCATCGTTCTGCGGATTTCACAGCTGTCGCGAAATGCTGAACAATTGAATGGAAAAAATCTACTTAAATAGACTATAGGATTTAGTCCAATGCCAGTGCTTATTTAGTCCAATGCCAGTGATCGTTTTAATATTGGTAAATTACTCTAAATTCTTTTGAAAACATTTATTTGGAAGTACACGTAATACTTTGCATTACTGGTTATTGATAGCCATTTCGGTTATTGAGACGCGCTCGAAATTTTTTCAGATATTGATTTGTTGCTGAAAATGACATTTTTGAGTTAGAGCTAAGGGAAACAAATCGCTCTCGAAAAGTTTGCACAAGATTATTTCGATTTTCAGTGCAAACAAAAAAAAAAGGTGCTAAAATGATTTCAATTTCTGTACCGCATTTCGATGTCATCATCAGGGTACAGTCAGAAGACAGAGAGGGTAAGGTGACGATGACACTGGCGTTTGGTATGGAAATACGTTGGGGGAATTAAAAAGAAATTAGCACTGGCCTTAGTTAGCTATTTGCCCTAAACCATGAATAGAAAACAAGTGCCAAGGAAGTCCTCGTTGAGTCACCTGACTCTCGCCACAAAAAGTGTACAGAAGACCAATATTCAAACCGCAAGAAATCGTCTTGTAACGTATAACCGATATAATAAATATAACAAACGTCATCCCTGTTCAGGGCTCGGAGAAGAGTCGAAGTATAACTTTAACAGCAGAGCAGAAACCGAGCTAACGAAAGACAAA